AGCATTGTAAACAAGGGTAGATCTAACATTCCATCTCTCAATCATGGGACTGATCTTGTTACCTCTCCCAGGGATAAGGCAGAACTGTTTGCAAAGAACTTTTCTTCTAATTCCACTCTTGAATCTTATGGACATTCTCTTCCTTCCATTCCAGTCAAACAGGTTGACCCATTGGTAGACATTTAAATCACTCCGGCATATGTTGCTAAAGTCATATCTCAATTAAACTCGTCTACAGCTTGTGGTCCAGACAACATTCCTGTCACAGTCTTGCAGAATTGTTCTCCAGAACTTTCTTCAATTCTCTCTAAACTATTTAACAAGTGTTTGACTGAGTCTTGTTTTCCTGCTTGTTGGAAAATGGCATCTGTGGTTCCAATATTCAAAAACTCTGGAGAAAATTCTGACCCCTCCAATTATCATCCGATCAGCCTTCTTTCTGTTATTAGCAAGGTCTTTGAGTCTTTGATCAACAAATTCCTCACATCTCATCTTGAGTCAAATAAACTGCTGTCAGACAATCAATACGGTTTTTGATCCTCTCGCTCAACGGCCGACTTGCTAACTGCTGTAACTGAAAGATTTTATCGTGCATTAGATGGAGGCGGTGAGGCTAGGGCTATTGCTCTCGACATATCTAAAGCTTTCGACAAAGTTTGGCATGCTGGTCTTCTCCATAAGCTTGCTTCATATGGTGTTTCTGGGAAAGTTCTTGAGATTATCAAATCATTTCTTTCTAACCGGTTTATTAAAGTCATCCTTGAAGGCCAACACTCTTCTTTATTTCCAGTAACTTCTGGGGTTCCCCAAGGTTCCATCCTGGGCCCTGTTTTGTTTCTTATCTACATAAACGATCTTCCTGACAACCTTTCATCTAAAGTAGCTCTTTTTGCTGATGACTCAACTTTATACTCCTGTCTTGACAAAAAGTTTTCTCTTTTCAATCACTTAGAACAAGCAGCTGACCTTGAATCTGATCTCACTTCAGTAATAGATTGGGGTTCACGGTGGCTTGTGAATTTCAACTCTAAAAAAACCCAATTGCTTACTGCAAACAACTACCATAATATGGTCAACATTCCTATATTAATGAATGGCAATCATCTTACTGAAACGTCTTCTTTACGTCTTCTTGGATTATCGCTTACTACTGACCTTTCATGGAAACCATATATACAATCGATTGCTAACTTAGCTTCTGCTAAGATTGCTTCTCTTTATTGTGCTCGCCATTTCCTTACTTCTGATTCCATTCTCTACCTCTACAAATCTCTTATTCGTTTCTGTATGGAATACTGTTGTCATATTTGGGCTGGTTTTTCTAACGATTCACTTTCTCTTCTTGACAAGATCCAAAAACGCATTGTAAATGTTGTTGGACCTGGACTATCTGCTAAGCTTGAACCTCTTTCCCATTGTCGTAAAGTTGCATCTCTTTCTCTTTTCTACAGATACTATCATGGTCACTGCTCAAAGGAGTTATCATCTCTAGTTCCATCAACTAAAATTCATTCTCGTTTTACTCGTCATTCAGCTAAGTCTCATTCGTTTACTGTATCTGTCCCTGCATGCTCTAAAAACTTTTATTCATCTAGTTTTTTCCCCGCACTTCAATCCTTTGGAACTCTCTCCCATCTTCATGTTTTCCTGACTCATACAACCTTCAACTTTTCAATTCTTCTGTCAACCGTTTCCTTGCTCTATAACTCTGTTCTTTTTTTTACTACTAACTCCCAACTTAATAGTGGTTGCTTGCAGCCTTGTTGGGAGTGAATGTAAATAAAAAAAAAAAAAAAAAATGTAGGAAGTCCTAGAGCTTTAAAAGAAAACTTTGAAGATGCTATGGCAATTATTAAAAAGTATGGTAAACCAGATCTTTTTATTACTTTTACTTGCAAACCAAAGTGGCGTGAAATAACAGAAATATTATATCCAGGTCAGACTGCGAATGATAGACCTGATTTGGTTACTAGAGTATTTAAACTCAAGTTAAATAACCTCCTCAACAATATATTCAAACATGGTGTATTGCTATAGTGGGGTTATGCTTTATATTTTGATTAAATAAAATTTCAATTATTTACAACTTTTACTATATTTTTCTATTTGTTATTTTAGATCAATTAACATTCAAAATGTATAAGAAATATCACTCCCAACACCCAGGGCCTCTCTCAGAGAGGTCCTTCAATAAGTGGTGTTCAAATGGCGGTATGGATGAGTCCTCCTTCAAATGGAGGGCTCATCCATACATAAGTCATTTCAATATATATATATATATAAATATATATATATATATATATATATATATATATATATATATATATATATATATATATATATATATACATATATATATATATATATATATATATATATACACTAGTGGCCATAGGAATGGACACCCCTGTTAATTTTACCATTATTCTTAAAAAAGTTGACATATCATGCATTTGGTGGATTTAAATTTTTATTTTTTATACTAAAAACAGGTCATCTATTATTTGGCTTATAGGAAAATGCAAATCTAAATCGTTTATATCAATTTTAAACATGGATTATAATTGTTAATTAGTGTCAAAAATGAGTCATTGCTCTGCTAATGGGTTTCTCTAGTTAAAGGTGAATGTCTCATTATTTTTGTGCTTTTGTGAAAATTAGTCTATTTGTTGTGATGACTAATAGTTAACTACGTTATTAATTAACATTTTTATCCATAAATCTTTTGAGCTATAAATACAAGATCATTGTTTTGTAGTCATTTAGTTAAGTTTCAACAATTGCTGGTGAAAAGGCAACAATACTCTTGAAGATTTAGTGTGTTTTTTAAAATTATACTTTTATTTACAAAGGCAAAAGGATATTGGTCACCTACAAAGCGATGCAAAGCTGTTACATTATGTGGAGAAGGTTATTTGTATATGGAAATTGCCAAAATGTTGGGAAATGGAACTACAAAATTTAGAGTGAGGAAGGTGTGCGAAAGGTTTAAGGCGACCAATACCTTCAAAAATATGCCAAAAAATGGAAAAATCAAGACAACTGCCAATGATGACAGGATAATAATGAGGCTTGCACTTAAGAACCGAAAAGCAACTTCAGCTGAATTTAAAAATGACTAGGAGGCCGCCAGAGTTTTGGTTAGTTCAAGAACAATTTGCTAAAGGCTTTTTGAAAATAGTTTAAAAGCAAGAAGACCCAGAAAAAAACCATATTTCAACAAAAAACAACGAAAGAATCGCTTGATTTGGGTAAAGGAACACAAGGAATGGACAAAGGAAGACTGGGTAAGAGTTATGCCGAGTGATGAAAGCAAGATTTCCATTTTCGGAAGTGATGGAATCAATTATGTGAGAAGAAGGCCCAGTGAAGGTCTTTTACCTGTGTGCACATTGGTTACAATGAAGCATCCCATAAATGTAATGGTGTGGGGATGCATGACCAGAGATGCTGTGGGTCGTATCCAAATTGTGGATGGTATTTTAAATGCCAAAAAATAAAAAGAAAACATATTAGAAGTCAAATTACTTCTATCAATTGATAATTGGCTTGAGAGCAAAACAAAAATCTGTGAGTTCCAGCAGGACAGTGCAACATGCCACACCGCAAAATCTGTCAATAATTGGTTCGAAGCCAAAAAGAAAAACGTTTAGAAGTGGGCTGGAAACAGTCCAGACCTGAATCCGATAAAAAATCGGTGGTCTCGGTTGAAATAACAAGCAACAATTAAAAGAGGCCATAATCAAGTCATGGTTTCACATGATGAGCACTGAAGACTTGGGCAATTTAGTGGACTCAATGCCTTGTAGGATTGCTGCAGTAATATAAAAAAATGGAAATCCAACAAAATAATTTTTTTTTTTATAAGTCATTTTTTTAATAACATGTTTTGTAAGCTGCAAAAATGTAAATTTACCATTATTTGGCACTTAGTCATTAAATTGTTATATTTTTATATTAAAATTATGAATTTTGATTGAAATTTTAGTTTTTTTAATCTAAACACATTAAAAACTTATAACCAATGTAGAAAACCGTATAAATATGATTATTTTCTTTTAAAAAACATACCATTAAGTGAAGTTTTCATATAATTAAAAGGGGTGTCCATTCCTATAGCCACTAGTACATATATATATATATATATATATATATATATATATATATATATATATATATATATATATATATATATATATATATATATATATATATATATATATATATATATATATATATATATATATATAAATATATATATATATAACCCTCGGAATTAGAGTCAGCATTCGGCAATGCCAACCTAACTGCTGACCTAAAATTGTTTGAGGTCGCCAAAAAAATGCCGAACTTGTTTCTATATTTTTTGGTCAGACCATTATATCAAATAATTTTTGTCGACCTTTAAAAGATCGAGGTCGGCAATAAATTTTCAACCTTATTTTTCCTAATTCCGAGGGTTGTATGTATGAATATATATATATATATATATATATATATATATATATATATATATATATATATATATATATATATATATATATATATATATATATATATGATATATATATATATATATATATATATATATATATATATATATATATATATATATATATATATATATATATATATATATATATACAAATATACATATGCAAATATACATATATAAAGTGAATTAACTTTTATCGTAGAACAACAAAAACAACATTTAATACAATACAACAATAACATTTAAGAAAAGTGACAATAACTGATTCAAACATATTATCATAAAACATAATAAAACTCACATAAAACTTTAACTTCTTGGAAAAAGGTCTTAGAAACTTGAGTTCTAGAAGAACTAGACATGCAGCTATATTGACCTGAATCTATTCTTTGAATATTTTGAACAACATAATAGCTTGCGTTAAAAATAGAAACATTATTTTTAAATATTTGATAAGTAAGATTAACATTTGCATTTGTTGTGCAGTTCAATGTAACATTTGTGCCTTCAACAGGATTTGGATCTAGATTTGTGAATGATGGAGTGTCTTGATCTAAAAATTTTAAAAACATTTACAAATTACCAGTTTTATGTCTAACCATAAATACACACATACATACATGCATGCATACAATGCAAGACTCAAAAAACTTGCATATATAACAGTAATAACCTTGCTTATACATTAGTGCTATCATATTAAGCAGACTAATGGGATGGTAGTTAGACAAGTCATTTTAATATATATATATATATATATAAATATATATATATATATATATATATATATATATATATATATATATATATATATATATATATATATATATATATATATATATATATATATATATATATATATATATTTATATACACTAGTGGCCATAAAAAATGGACACCCCTGTTATTTTTACCATTATTCTTAGAAAAGCTGACATATCATGCATTTGGTGGATTTAAATTTTTATTTTTATATTTAAACCATGTCATCTATTATATGGCTAATAGGAAATTGCAAATCTTAATCATTTATATCAATTTTAACATAATTATGGATTATTATTGTAAATTGGTGTCTAAAATGAGTCATTGCTCTGCTAATGGGTTTCTCTAGTTAAAGGTATATTTAAACCATGTCATCTATTATATGGCTAATAGGAAATTGCAAATCTTAATCATTTATATCAATTTTAACATAATTATGGATTATTATTGTAAATTGGTGTCTAAAATGAGTCATTGCTCTGCTAATGGGTTTCTCTAGTTAAAGGTGAATGTCTCATTATTTTTGCGCTTTTGTGAAAATTAGTCTATTTGTTGTGATGACTAATAGTTAACTACGTTATTAATTAACATTTTTATCCATAAATGTTTTAAGATATAAATACAAGATCATTGTTTTGTAGTCATTTAGTTGAGTTTCAACAATTGCTGGTGAAAAGATCCTTCACCGGGCCTTCTTTTCACATAATTGATTCCATCAATTATGTGAAAAGAAGGCCCGGTGAAGATCTTTTACTTGAGTGCACATTGGTTACAATAAAGCATCCCATAAGTATAATGGTGTTGGGATGCATGACCAGAGATACTGTGGGTCCTATCCACATTGTGGATGGTATTTTAAATGCCAAAAAATAAAAATAAAACATATTAGAAGCAAAATTACTTTTATCGATTGATAATTGGTTTGAGAGCAAAACAAAAATCTGTGAGTTCCAGCAGGACAGTGCAACATGCCACACCGCAAAATCTGTCAATAATTGGTTCGAAGCTAAAACGATAAACGTTTAGAAGTGGCCTGGAAACAGTCCGGACCTGAATCTGATAGAAAATCGGTTATCTCGGTTGAAAAAACAAGCAACAATTAATAGAGGCCATAATCAAGTCATTGTTTCACATGATGAGCACTGAAGATTTGGGCAATTTAGTGGACTCAATGCCTTGTAGGATTGCTGCAGTAATAAAAAAAATGGAAATTCAACAAAATAATTTTTTTTTTTTTTGATTGCAAAAGTAATTTTTTTAGTGGACTCAATGCGTTGTAGGATTGCTGCAGTAATAAAAAAAAATGGAAATTCAACAAAATAATTTTTTTTTTTTTTTTTGCAAGTCATTTTTTTTCAAAATAAAATTTTTTTTTTTTTGTAAGTCATTTTTTAATATATATAACATGTTTTGTAAGCTGCAAAAATGTAAATTTACCATTATTTGGCACTTTGTCATTAAATTGTTATATTTTTTATATTAAAATTGTGAATTTTGATTAAAATTTTAGTTGTTTTTTAATCTAAACACATTAAAAACTTATAAACAATTTAGAAAACCGTATAAATATAAATATTTTCTTTTAAAAAACATACTAAAGTGAAGTATTTATATATTTAAAAGGGGTGTCCATTCCTATAGCCAATAGTATATATATATATATATATATATATATATATATATATATATATATATATATATATATATATATATATATATATATATATATATATATATATATATATATATATACATATATGTTTATAAATATATACAAATATACATATATGTTTATATATATATATATATATATTTGTATATATATGTGTGAGTGTGCGTGTATATATATATATATATATATATTTGTATAGATACCGATATATAGAATATATTCGAGGTAAGTATTTTGATGTAATAATACGAAGTCAATTGTATGTGTTGCAGTGCTTATAATTACTGAATAATAGAGCTATATATAATAAAACAGAATTTGGATCTAGATTTGTGAATGATGGAGTGTCTTGATCTAAAAATTTAAAAACATTTACAAATTATCAGTTTTTTGTTTAATCATAAATTCACACATACATGCATGCATGCATACAATGCAAGACTCGAAAAACGTGCTTATATTATAGTAATAACCTAGCTTATATGATAGTACTATCATATTAAGAAGGCTAGTGGGACGATAAAATAAGCCTATTATAGAATGATAAGCCTATTATAGAATGATAAGCCTATTATAGAATAGAAAATTGTCAAACATTGCAAACCTTACAGTCTAGCAACAAAATTATATTTTATTTAGATAAATAAAAACAACTAATTAGCAGGAATTAAAGATTCATGCCCGAAGGCAATCATCAGCCGTTAATACAAACAAAAAACATACACAAACCATTACAAATTACTGTATAATGACTTCTGAAATTATAAACAAAACTATGTAAAAAACAAATCAAAAAACAAAAAAACAAAAAGCTGTTATAGTTTACAAAAAAGCAAAACCAAAATTAAAAGACCATATAAACAAAGAAGGAAAACAAATTTTAACCAACTATGAGGTATATAAACAAATTGAAATAAACGGATCCTCTAACTGTTTTTTCACTTTGAAAGACCACAAGGAAAACTTTGTTTACAATCCATCTGTGCGCATTTTGAACCCTTTAAAAAATGAGGTAGGACAAATTACTAAAATAATTTTAACAAAAATTATTTGTGAACTTAAAAATAAACTTTTTTTGAATCAATGACAAAGTACACAAAATGTTGTAGACTGGTTTAAAAAAATCACCAATAAACACTTATACAAATTCCTAGTTTTTGATGTTAAAGAATTTTACCCTTCCGTAAGCGAAAACACCCTCAACAATGCTATGAATTTTGCTGACCATCATATCGTTATCAAAAGCGAAGACAAAGCATTGATAAACAAAAATAGGAAACTGTTTTCTAGCTTTTTATTGACTTACATTTTATAGTTGGCCAAAAGCAACATAAAATATTCAACCAAAATTCTATTGAGATCAGCTACAGTTGCATGCCTAACCTAAATTTGCATAATTTTAAAACAAAAATCAGTTAACAACCAACTAATGTAATTGTGTAGATATAGCATTTTGCCTTTTGAACAATCAATGTTCATCTAATAATATTGTCTACCAAGCAACCATAAGTTCCAGTCATCATGATCGTAAATAAAAAAGTATATTTTGGCATTAGTAATACCATTTAAACTAAGATACGCAAACCATTTCAAATCATTTGCATCAGTTAAGTATAGAAATGATACAGAACTAAGGAAGTATTGAGCTTAAAATACCAAAACATAAAGCCTATTATAGAATCAATTGTTGCAAACCTTACAATCTAGCAACAAAAATATGCCACCTTTGTCTCTATGAAAAATATGTTATTTTATCACATAATGGAAAAAACCAACTGAATAAAAAAAATTAAATTGTATCTCTGTGTCGATATTTGAAAAAATTATTATTATCTTTATTTGACACAAGGGATTAGTAAACTATAATGGCTTTTTCATTTGTTTTTTAAGTAGATTAGTTGATATAACTAGAAAGTTCTACTTTTGTAATAACTAGAAAGTTCTACTTTTTATAATTCTATTTCTACTACTAACTATATATTTGAATTTTATTTATAAGTATTTAAAAACTCAATTTATATTTGCCCAATTATATTGATTTAACAATAAGTTATTATAAAACACACAGAATGACAGATCTGCTATGTAAAAACCCATTTTTAAATTTAATGAGGCATTTGGTGAGCCATCATCTTCAAAGAGAATTAAACGTAAAGGTGGAACACATATAACACTGAATGACAAGTTAGCAATATATCATTTCTATTATTGGCAAAGGCCAGTAATAGAAATGCTGCACTATTCCTGACTCCAGCACTGCACCACCTTAGTTATGACTCAGCAGATTTTTATATCAATCAATAGTCCATTTAAAGAGAGGATGAAATGTAGATAAAGAATTGCAGAGAACTTGAAAGCAGAATTCAAACCAACAGTTCCACTAAAAATATACTAGGATGGGAAATCGCTAGATGATATCAGTAGCACAGAAATTGTAGACTGGCTTCCAATTGTTGTATCTGGATTAGGAGCTGACCAACTTGTTTATATCCTTAAGCTGCCATCTGGAACTGGAGAAGTTGCAGTGCCAGCTGATTATGATGCAACTGTAGCATGGGGCTGATAAAGTCAAGTGTATGTGTTTTGACACTACTTTTGTAAATTGTAGTCCAAGAAAAGGTTTAAAAGCAGTTACAATTTTATTGACCAGTCAAAATTTCAGGCATCAAGTTTGAATGACACTGTGCACATTGTCTTTTTTAATGTTGCAAGTGTCTTTTTTAGTGTTGGTTTAGAGCACCAATAGAACAATCTCAGTATCGTGTTGATCTTGAGCTTATCAAGGAGATCAAAAAACACAAAGTACAAAATCAAGCAAAATCAGATCCTTCTCTTAATTGTAAGGAAGTACCGCCAGCTATTTCCTGACCAAGCAAAAAATACCCTAGCATTAATAATTAGATGATTTTTTCACTTCGACAGCCTTAATACAGAAGAACAATAATAACTACAACATGTAACAATATTTTGAATATGATTCATTAAAGCAATGCTATTCTCTGTGACTGATCATGTGACTGATTATATTTGTCCTAATCATTCATATAGTGTTGAGCAAACGGGCGAACACATTTATAGATACAAACTCTGTCGTAGGGACCCTTAAAATATATTTTATTCAAATATAGTTTTCAGTAAAATTATTTTTTTATAATAGTCAACCATTCAAAAGGGTTCATCAGAAAACTAAAGAAATTTTTTTTTTTTAATGAACCTAATATACTTGTTGTTTAAATAGTTAAAAAAAAAAATAATTGCTGAAAATTTATTACACAAGCCAAAAACATAAATTTTGCTGATTTAATGCTATATATTTATAATTTATTTACACTTTGAGTAAATAATATAACTATAAAATATGAATAAAAAACATTATTGCTTTAACGAAATTGAATTTGGGAACTGGGTTTGAATTTTATCATCTAATATACCCATAAACAAGTTAGCATATGGCTGTGCCATTCATGTACCCATTGATGTACCATCAATTTGTTGGTAGAACCTATTAGCAATGTAAATAATCTGGTTCATAATCTGGTTCTAAAAGTAAATATATATATAGGTCATTTGTAGTATGGCTGGGTTGGCTAGATGTATTTTGGGATTAGAAGTTTTCATGCTGATTTCTAGTAATATAACTATAACAAACAGATACGATCACATACATAATTGCTGGTTCTGCGGGAGAATGCTTTTGTTTGTGCAACATATCTGAGCTAACTTATGTTTAATTGTCCTCGACATTCAATACTTTTTTTGACAACAATTGGTATGTGTGTGTATCTATAAATATGTATGTATATAAGTATCATATTATTTTTTGTTGAAAATATTTTGCAATAATAATTAGTGGTACAATTAGTATATGCAATAATAATTAGACTAGGGAGCTATGACTGCATTGTTACTTTGGCATTCTTTACATATATGTGTATGCGTGTGTGTCTATATATATGTAAAAGTGTTGGTTTTTGGGTTGTCATTTGTGTATCTATGTATATAAGTATCATATTATTTTTTGTTGAAAATATTATGCAATAATAATTAGTGGTAGACTAGGGAGCTATGACTGCATTGTTACTTTGGCATTCTTTACATATATGTGTATGCGCGTGTGTCTATATATATATGTAAAAGTGTTGGTTATTGGGCTGTCATTTATTATACATATATTTGTTTTTTTCCCACCTACGTAATTTTTGACGTTTATGTTGCAATGGTTTCGTTTACTGTTTTTCACTATATTTTATTTAAAACCTGTTTTTTAATTGGTTAGCAACATTTGATCTAGGTATCTATTGTAGCGTTTTACGTTATATGATTTTGTTTTTATAATTCCATATATATTTCTTCACTTTATCGGCTTGAGTTTATTTATCCTAAAAGTATCAATTTTAGCCACTTGTTGTATATTTTAATATATTTTTATCTAACAACATTTATCACATCAGTAGTATAGTTAAGTATTTTGCAGTTATATTGGTTTTCTGTAAGTATAATTTTTTTATATTTTTTTATATTATCATTTACATTTTAGTATATTGTTTTTTGTTATTTCAGTTTAAAAACTTTATTTATATTTTGTTTTATATATTTATTTTATTATCTTATATATATTTTATTTTAAATTTGTTATATTATTAGATATCGTATTCACTACTCTCACTATCCATATTATTTGTTCAAAAATATTAGTGCTTTACAAATTTGGGTGAGGTTAGGGTTTTGGCTATTTTGTAGTGAAGTCCTTTTTTACTGCAGTATGTAGTAGGCATAAATCGCGGGGCAAAGCATATATAGCGATGTTTATCTGACGAGGTAAACTAGGTATTGTGCTGAGCCTCTTCGAAAGGCCGGTAATAATAAACACGATTCTGAGGAGAAGTTTATAACCACCACTACATATATTATGATTACACAAAAGCAATAATGTTTTTTTCTCTATCTTATGCTTCCTATGAATTTATATTTATTCATTTTGAATACTGATATATCTATACATATGTATTAATAATTTAAGTATGTTAAACATTTGTATTTAATGTAGATTTATGGTTACTTATGGTTAGCTGTTTTGTTTTTGTTACATTTCTTTTACATGTGCGATGCCTAAATTATTATTATTATTTTTTACTACACCCTTTTCTATAGTATCTTTGTTTTTGTTCTGAACATCTGTTCAATATATATTTTTAATTATTTTATCCTTTTTCTTTTCCTAAATTTTTCCTTATTTCACTTAGGCTTTACAGCTCGGTCGAGGCCTTTGATGCGTATTTTTTCATTTTTTTAAATAAAACAAATACAAATAATATTGATTCAAAAGAAAAAAAAACATGACCTTTGATGAATGTAGCATCCATACATAGGATTTATATTATCCACTGGTTTTAAAAGCTATCTCAGATATGTACCAGAAACAAAAGCACTCTCCCACGGAAACAGCAATTATATATATGATTGTATCTGTTCGTTATAGTTATATTACTAGAAATCATTGTGAAAACTTCTAATCCCGAAACACATCTAGCCAACCCAGCCATACTACAAATGACGTTTATTGGATGTAGCATCCAATAAACGTCAATTTGTTAGCTTTTCAATTTGTTATCAATCAATTCTAAAACAGTTAATAAACCTAAAAATAATTATGTCATTTGGACTTAACCACTTATTTCTCAGTATATTACAACAAGGACTCAATACATTTCCGCTTCCTAAAAGTTAATTAACTTTTATTGTAAAACAGCATTAATAATATTTAATACATTACAATATTTACATTAAAAAAACAATAACTGATTCAAATAAAATAAAATAAAACATAATAAAACTCACACAACACATTAACATCTTGAAAAAAGGTCTTAGAAAATTGATTTCCAGATGAACTTGAGGTGCAGTTATATTGACCTGAATCTGTTCTTTGAATATTATAAATAACATAATAGCTTGTGTTAGCAATAAGAACATTATTTTTGAATAATTGATAAGTAAGATTAACATTTGCATTTGTTGTGCAGTTGAATGTAACATTTGTGCCTTCAACAGGATTAGGATCTAGATTTGTGAAAGCTGGAGTGTCTTGATCTAAAAAACATTTACAAGTTATAAGTTTTATCTTAAATTAAAAATACTCACATACGTATATGTATGCATACATACATACATACATACATACTTACACACATACATACATAAATACATACATACATACATATATACATACATACATACATACATACATACATACATACATACATACATAATGAAATTTAAAATCTTCATACAGTAATGAAGATTTTAAAATGGGGCTGAATAATAAAGATTTTATAGTATATTTATACTTTAGAATTATAAATTAGAAATAAATAGCAATGAAACTCTTTACTAATAATTATTCTTATTAGTGAAACGCTTTTAATTAAAGTGTTATCAAATTACTGATAATTTTTTTTTGTCGTATCAATGAAGTTTCTAGGTAATATTTTAACTTATATTATCCAAATTAGATAAGTATGTATTTTTATAAGTGTTATTAAAAAATATGTATATTTAGATTTTGTAAACGACTCTAGTCAACGTCTCTTTAAAGAAAATTTGTACTAAAATCATAATACACTAAAAAAAAGAAAAAATTTCATCAAAAAAGTGACCAATGTTTTTGAAAGCCATTTTAATTATATATCTTTGATCTTTAATAATATTTTTTTATTATTGAAACGCATTTAAAAAAACTGCTAACAATAATTTATTTAAAGTATTAAATATTATATATAGTTTTTTTTATTTATATACAATATATATTTTTTGTGTTTTAGTTTTAGATATGTTCTTTTTATTTTCTCTTTTATTAAGAACACTTTTTTTTTCAAACCATTTTTTTTCATTCAAGTCTAGATATTTTTTTTTTTATAATCATAAGAAATATATTAAGAAATAGTTTTTTTCACTGTTTTTTTTTAAGTGTTTATTTTTTTCAGCACATTTTTAAAATGTTCAAATTCTAAAATTATGTTAACAACCATAGTCAAATCGTCAAAACAAAGTTATTCTTTGTGTGGTCATGTAACATTTTGCAATCGCATGCCTTCTTGTGAAAGCCTACATACATACACACACTCACACACACACAAGTTTTTTTTTTTTGTTATGCTATGTAAACTGTCTAATAAAATTTGTTTACACTTAAATGCTTTTATATAAAGTTTTAAAACGCTATTAAATAAATTATCATAGAACATTAAATAAAACTTTAATTTATTTCAAAAGTATTTTTTGTTAATGATGAATTTTTTTTTTCAAAACAATTTGTATTCTTAATTTTATAAACAACGACGAAAATGAATGCGCTTCAATAAACTTTTAAAAAAAATACTTTTTAGTAATTTAAATAAACAAACTTTATTTAAACTTTATTTAAACTTTTATTTATTAAGTCTTTTATTAAACGATATTTAGAATAATTTTTTTATTTAAAAGAGTTTGTGTAATATTATAAAAACATTAGAAAAGATCAACGTTTTAAAGTTTGTTGCATATATATTTAGAATAATTTTTTTATTTAAAAGAGTTTGTGTAATATTATAAAAACATTAGAAAAGATCAACGTTTTAAAGTTTGTTGCATATATATTTAGAATAATTTTTTTATTTAAAAGAGTTTGTGAATATTATAAAAACATTAGAAAAGATCAACGTTTTAAAGTTTGTTGCATTGGTTTGAAAAGGCTTTTAAATGAAATGTTTTGTTTTAGGAGAATTAAAAAAAAAATTTTTTTAATGTTTAATTTAAATTATTTATATTCTTTATGTATTCTTTTTTTAAATGATTTATTAAAATAAATGAATAAATAAAAAAAATCATATATATAATTTTATCGAGACATAAAAAAAAAAAAGACTTAATTGCTATTCTCCTAATATAAAAATTTTTTTTTTTATATTATTTTATTATATTTTTTTATAAGATTTTTTTCTTTTTTATAAGCAACATGTTCAGGGATGGCAGATGTATTTTTCTAAATGATCAGTAAAAATAATTAGGAAAAAAGAAAAGATATTTAATCTAAACTGAATAAAGTAAAGAAATAATTTGATCTGAATAAAGTAAAGAAATAATTTGATGAACAAATAGAAAATAAATTAGAAAAAAGAAAAAAAAAAGAAAAGGAAAAAGAACTTTTAAATTAATAATCAATTTAAATACAACTTTCGATAAAGAAACCAAAAATATAGAAAAAAACATTAACTAGTTAACAAAAGAATTTCGAATTCGAAAAAGATTTGAACCATTCAAATAATCAATAAAAATCATAAAGAAAAAAAAAATAAGTAAAAAAAAGAAAAAGAGAAGTAAAAATTATCTATTAATAAAGAAAGAGAAGAATTGGATTAAATATAATTTACATTTAGCTTAATTTTGTTGTAGCTTATTTTATTTAATTAAATTTATTTCTATTATACATTATCATAAATATATTATAGATAGTTTTAGGATGATGTCACGACATAATTAACGCTCTAGCTCCGCCATGTTGTAGGTCAAACAAAGTAAACAAATTAAGCGTTTATTGCCAAATTTTCTGGTCATGTGTGGTTTTATAGAAATTAAATTAGAAAGTTTATTATTTTGATTAAATTTATGTAGAAATTAAATCTATATATGATTATATAAGTAATTTATTCGTGTTTGAACTAATACCAAATATCTTGTTTTCTAAAAACCTTTAAACAAGGTTTAACTAATTAGTTAGAGTTTACATCTAGCTAAGGTTTACTTAGCTAAATAAACCTTAGCAACTAAGATCTACTTAGTTAATGATCTGAACTAAATCAAAACGAATTCAAATCAATAAGATATTTGATTTGATTTCATTTTGAATTTGCTTATTTTTTTGTTTTTAATTTGCTTCATTGTGAATTTGCATAACGCATACACAGTAGACATATTCATGTTGTTTAAACACGCTAAATAAATTATTAAATTGTGTTATTATTTTTAAATTCTATCTATATAAATAATATGATGATTTACTTATTAAATTGCTCTCGTATCCTGAAACCAACAACTATATTAATAATATTACTATTGGCATTTGTATATATTATATACTAATAACAATATTAGTATTATTAACATAGTTATTAATTTTAAGATACTAAAGCAAATTTAATAAGTAAATAATTTATTTAGTACCAACGAAAAAATTTAGTGAAAGAGTCATTTTAGAGGCAATCAATACTCGTGTAAAAATCCTAAATAATTTGTAGAAGGTTTAAAAATTATATTGTTACTTTAAACTGTTAATTGTTGAAAAGTTATTTTAAGCTTTAGCTGACATGTCTAGACTGTTTTTCATAAAGTATATCTTTTTCTAAAATCACCTATCAAGCTCCATTAATTATGCAAGTGCTGCTTATTAAATTAAAAAAAACATGGTCAAATGAGAATTTATTTGAATGGATGTGTGATACCTCTTGGCAATAATAAATGTGTATTCAAAGTATTGCAAATTGTATATGATTTTTAAACGCAGATATAAATATTAGTAATCGCAAATGGAGCAAAATAATAAATATAAGTTTTTTTTTATCTTTTTCTATCTTTGCAAAATTAAACATGCTAGATCTCCGGTATTTACACTACCATTGCAATCTATTAAAAGATCGATTTTACTTTATGGGTTAGTTAGCAATGTTTACATTACACTGTTTACATAGATCTTTAATTTTATCACATTAATTAGTTACTGAAGTTATAGCATGTCCAGTTTTTGCTGTTTGTATTAAATTCGATAACGCAATTGAAAGTATTTTTGATGTCTTTAAGCTGCTGGAACTTAATAATGTTTTTTTAGTCTTATTGCTTTTCTTGATTGCTGTTAGGGTTTTTTATTGTTTTTAAACTTTTTATGGCTTTGCTTAAGCTGCTCTTTTGTTAAATGTTCAGAACCGCCTTAATTGATAACATCTTAATTGATCAACACACACAAATCATTACGCCCATTTACAGACATAAAAAATACTTTTGGACACATTATTTAATTCCATGAATCACCGCGCGAAAAAAACCATTATTTAATTTCATGTAAAAAACTGTACATACCGAACAGTGTCTAACTTCAGTGGTATACTATTGAATTATACATAAGGCTCACTACTAAGAACCTTATAAAAAGTTAAAAACTTTTGAGAAACTTATTGTAAATTGAATCATGAATCGAAGTGGATGATAAAGATACCTGGTTCATAGATCCTGAACACTTAGTGTGGGTAATGTTGAATAGATGTGCACTCCAAAATCTTACATGTTTTGCTCTTAAAATAAAGAAATATTAAAACATTTATTACCGCTTGAATTGGGTTGACTACAATAATTTACAATTTTTTTTTTCTATAACAGCACATGCCATAATTTATGTTGCATCAGCTTTGTATAATTCCAGCATAAGTTTCTAATTAATTCAATTAATTATTAATTGCACGATAAACAGAATCTTCATCAAGTTGATGATCAACTTATTTAGGTTTTTACATAAGTCTTGATTGCTAGAACCTGCTAATACAACAATATCTCCAATATAAAAATTTCCTATCTTTATGATTTTTCTTGTTAGCCATAATTAATAATTTTCTTGTTAGTCATAATGATTAACTTATAATAACAACTTTTATAACATGCATACTACAAAAACATGTCTATGTAGATACTAAAGATATATTATACTTTAGCTAGTACTTTAGAAAGTAACTGATTTTATAGAGTTTCAACTTAAAAACTAAACATTAAAACTAATTATATTATAGATAGAGAATTATATTCTACATAAACTTAAGCGAAAATAATCAATATAAAAGAAGTTAAACTTAAGATATGCTGTTACTAAATACATTATACTAATAAACGCTCAGTTTGTTTATTTTTTTGCCATACAGTGTGGCACCCGTAAACTTTTAGCATCACATGATTAAAAACTATCTATTGTTAAATATATTACTATTATCTTCAACTTAGTTATTAAGATATTATTTTTACTTTAATTTATTTTTATTTTATGTTGTTACGGTTTTTGTTTATAACATATTTAT